CAGGCTGGTTTTAGACCTGGTCGAGGTTGTATCGATCATATCTTTACTCTTTGTCGTAGTTTGAATCCGAAGGAATGGCTTTGCGAGCATCCAGAAGGGCAACCGAAGTCGGGGAGGTTCATCGTTTTTATTCAATCGTGAGTCAGAATTTGCTGTTGTTTCGATTGACATTTTGATCGCTTCCTTGATTGCCGTCCAGTGCTCACTGAGTCCTGTGACTGATGGTTGTGCTGAGAGATGATCTGATAGTTCCGCTTCGAAAGCCGATTTGCAACCATTGCTGACATTGCATCTTGGGCATCCGTTTTCGGTGGCTCTTCTGCGGTTGTTTCTCAGGCGGAGGGAGAATCTCGCTCGTAGCAGAGCATAGTCCGTGTCCACGGGTATTGACCGGTAGGAGCGGCAGTCTTCAATGGATCCTCGCCAGCGGTGGTTGATGGCAATATGGTCCATTTGAGTCTAGAGCTGAGAAGCGGTCGACGGTCTCCATGTAAGGCGGTGTCGTTTCTTGTGCGAGAAGTTGGTACTTGACAGAAACATTCGTGGTAAGCGCAAAGTTGGAGTAGGCATTCTCTGTTGTTAGTCCGGTTGGCTGGGATTGCATGGCGTGAATCAACAGCAAACCGTCACTAGGCATTTCTTAGAATAAAGAGAAAGAGAGCACTGACAACATCACAACGTTAGCAGAAGTTTGTAGTCGGTCAAATATTTATCACTCTCAGATAGAAGGTCACTGTTTAGATACACTCCAAAGAAACTCGACTCCAAATCGGTAAAGTGACATCAACTGTTAGAAACGAACTACCATACTATATCACGAACCTGAGCATGGCACAAAGCTTGCAGACATGCTTTACTCAATATGAACATCTAAGTTGAACACATTAACTCAAAAGATTTAATCCTTTTCAGAAACCTACAACCAGTCGAGGAAGTTGAGTCGGTTTCCGGGCCGAGCAAATCCAAAATAGTCAAAGACTGTTGTGCTTGTTGTGATCGAGCCGGAGGTGCGGTTGCACTCAAACCATTGAGTACCAATAAACCGTTGGTTGAATCCACATTTGAAGCCTCTTCAAGGAGTAAAGAACCGCCGGATTGTGCTTGTCCATCTGCACCCGTCCCCATTGGATGATCCACACTAGTTCGTGTCGATACTGGTATGTAGTCAAGCAGACCGGCGCGTATTTGGTTGGCCAGACCACAAATACGATCGTATTCAACAGAGCGCTGTTGTAACTCCAGTTGAGTGTTAGTGGAGTACAAACGAATGAGGTCATTCAGGGGACTAAAAGTGAAAAAACAATGAATCAGACGCCCATTTGCGAATGGATCCGTTTTAACATATGAAGTCAGCGATTTAGAACGAATGCTAGTCATCTCGCGTTTTTCCGCGGCACTGCCAATTTAAGCGAGCTGCAAACAATTGAACCAGCACCAAAAATCTCGCTGTTGAGCGAACGAGCATTCGGACACCACAGAACATGAATCACCCATAAGATTTGGATTGTACAACCGAGTACCACACCAAATTTCACTACTACTCTTTCGTATATTTATTCAACATACAATTTGCATATTGAGAATAACGGAAACCAAACAAACAGCACATCGCATTATTATTGATTGTACAACCGGAAATGCTTTCTTTCTCGTTATGTGCAATAGTGACGAACAGTAGAACGGTTAAACCCTATAGGCGGAAGGAGCTAGTGTTTAGTCATGATAAACTTAAAATAAGCCTCAAGTCTAGGAGTTGAAAAAGCGAACAAAATCAAGCGTCCAACATGATGGGTGCGGTATTGAACCAGTAGATAATAAAGCTGCATAACACCAAAGTTCGTTGGCCGTGGCAGGGTACAAAATTCAATCCACCAATGGATCATCCCCTTTTCCAAAATCATTTATTTAAGCCAACAACTCTAATACCCTGTTTCATCAGCGATTAAATAAGCAACGTTCACGGATCCGCACATACCCCTGTTGAGAAGCGGAGAATCGTGTGGTTAATTTAACCAACGCGTTTAACACCATCTGCTTGCTTGGAACAGAAGTCATAGGATGAACAAGCGCAGATCGGAGTACATGAATGACCTCGGACTCCGTCGGCGGCGGTTTGACCGATTCCGGATCACGTGATCCGGAAACCAACAGATCCCCATATTCACCGATGGACCAAGAAGCCACCTGAAAGAGACAGGAGTCAATATTATGACAACAAAAAGGGAAAAACAATATATGCATACAAATTCATTCCGCGATAGTCGACGGATTTTCTTATGCAAATGAAAGCAAAACAAACACTACCGGAGGAAGCACCGTTGAAAAACCCACACGGTCAATGGCACTTTAAACAAACAATCGCCACGATTGCCAGATAGGATAGAACACCATACGGGAGGTGCATTTGGTTTGTTATTTATCAGTGTGGCACATTGAATAGAATCAGATCCATAGAAACGAGAACCTACTCTGCAAGCAGCTCCTGTGGTGACGTGACTTTACTTAACTGCATATAGTAGATGCCTTCAGACTAGGGGCACCTTCCAACGAGGAGCGAGTGACAATCGATCAAACTACTTCAGTGCCGCCAAATAACTTTCAAGGTAATAAATTTGCGGTTGGGTGTCGGTGGTGATGCTAGTGATCAAGCGGTTCAAGTCGCTATTATTGGTGTGCTTTTCGCCCTAGGTTCCGACGTTCAAACTCCGCCACCGCCACCAAGGTTTGCTGATAGACAGTTTCGCTATCATCCGACTTAATACTATGTTTATGCTAGTGCGGTCTCGTTTGGATCGCCATCGAATTTATGTCAACTTGTGCCGTACCGATTCCTCACCTTGATTGTGAAATCCCGTTCCATCGACATCAATTAGCTTTGTTCGCTCTTGTTTATCCCGTATCCATTGCCGAGTTCCTACCCTTATTACCAAAACATAACACTCTTCAGGACTGAGTACCTGCAATTTGTCGGTTTACCCCATTTAAATGCTTGGTTTCCTTTGATATTCCTTGTTCTTTGATCTGACGGTGCCTAGAGAGTGGCCTGACCCGGTATCCCGTTCCATTTTAATTAAGCTGCCTGGCTTCTGAGCCGGATTGCTCAGAACTTAAGGCATGTTATACATAATGCCTGTTTGCCCGTTTCTTAGTACACGAAGTTTACCGAACTCGTGTTCTATTTGGCTGGATTCGGGGGTTCGTTTTCTACGCGTCACTCTACCACGTCAATCCGGCAGATGGGGAATCAGGTGGTGGTAGAGATGTCTCGAAACGAACGTGCATACATATTAAAATCACAGGTCTTTGATCGACCACGAACCTCACAAAGCAAACGGACACATTAGCAGTCAGCAAACCTGAGACACCTGATAGCAGACGCTTCGTGATCAACACATGAAGCGACACCCCAATACGTGCGATATTATACGAACATGTAACCACAGTTCCTCATTTAGTTTCCCAGCACCTTTCCGGCTGGGTAGACAGATAATGATCCGCTGCGACAAGGCCCTGCGGTAAACTCGCCTCCTCACATATTTTCACTTTTAGCTTGGTTTACCTTGGGAATATCCCACCTCTGACGACCTTTACTTATTATTATTATAACTCTTGTTTTTTCAACAAAACACAGGGCAATAAGTGCAGGGTCAGTTGGACTAAATTGTAATTCGATTACAAAACGACCTCTTGAAGTTACATTCTCAAACGTTGCAGTATTTACTGTTTCAATAATCATAACAATACTTATACGACATGAAGATGAAATCTGTGACTGACTTGAACGTTTAACGAGACACAGGAATTAAGATTTGTTCGGTTTTTATTTTCGAACAAAAAAGCTTTTCTGTGGTATTTATTAACACTTAGCTTCGTTAACGTCATACTATGAGGCTAACCAAGTGAGCATACCTGAACCAATGGTTGTTGTGTCATTGCTTCGCAAAGTGCATTGTACAGATGGAAGGTAGCGTAACCGTGCAAGTCGGAATTCTGTGCAACCAGTTGGACCAATGAGGAGACCACATCGTCACGTGCGTAGTTCCCAGCCTAATTTCATTAAAGGATGCATAGTTAGACCAAGATTTAATCATGGGCGATAGACTTATTTGTCACAGATGAAACGATATCAATGAATAAGCAACTAGACACATTTGGAAAGTCATGACATAAGCGTGAACATGGCATTCACATGCATTTCCAATAAGAAGCAGACAAGTATAAAAGCATGGGTGGGCCTAAATCTATCTTGAAACTGTGATCAGAAAAAGAGTCTTTACTGGCTAAGTGGTTCGATCGCATGTGCAGACGACCGCACAAATGGTGTAGAAATCGATAGTAAGAAACGGCAGATGTGCACATGAAGAAAACAAGAAAAAATCACACGAGGGTGAACACGTCATTTCAAGGAGGCTCTATACAGCTAAATCGTCCACACAGACAATAACCGTATTTGATTGTATTGTTTAGCGGTTAGATAATCTAATTACTTGTCTTCTTTCGGAAACAAATTGAAACTGAACACAATTCGCAGATGCTGATGAAACCAGCCCGTGTAAGAAAAGCAACTAAAGGTGGAGTAGACATAGGTTATACGTGGTTTCTGAGAAGTGGGTACTGACTGAGTAGTTAGTGATTCCGTGTAGCGCAATGATGAAAATTAAAAAACACTGACCGAAAACGAATACGATTCGAAAACAGGTTATTATCACAAATATAAAGGAGGGCGGCTATGTAATATTACAAAAAGTAACTACAGAAAAACTCTCGAGTTTTACTTGATTATTTTTTTTAATATAAACTGGCATATTAAAACTTGAGAAAAAAACAGAGGAGTTACGTAAGTCGTCAAGGAAGTAGATCATTAACATCATGTCTAAAAGATGCACATTTTTTTAATTTTGATCTAACTATCACGCATAGCAATCACTACTGGCCTACAGTGTTAGACATAACCCAAAAGGTGAATACCAATGAGTAAACTATTTTATGCACCGCCCGAATTAATAACGACCCTACATGAATAAGCCCTCGGGAACCGGATTCATGGAAAAGCCATTCTTCAAGTAACTTGCAACAAAACTAAATCAAGGTAATTTAACTTAATACCATGGGACACAGACATTTTCTTTAAGTAAAACAGCTGTCCCTATTAACAGCAGCATACTTTGCAGTGTTTTTATTTAATTGGAAAGATACATATGTATGTGCAACAAGCCGAATACGGACAAGGTGAGGACATGTTAGATATCACACACACTGGACCGCAACACATGTAGAAGCCAAATACAAACCTGGTGATCCAGGGGTTTGGATGTACTGTAAACCTGCTCTAGTATACCCATTCGGCATCAGTGATCCAACATATATAATGCATAAGCAAATTCATTGATACGAGAAGAACTAGGAAGGATGTATGCGATTTCCGAATTACTCAGGTTGAAATGGCAGTTCTAATAAAATGCACATTTGCAACGATACATGTTTACGCATCGACATACAGTTTGAAAATTATTACAGAGAAAGACTGCCACTTACTGTAGTCAACACTGCCAACATGGCATCGATATGCCAACGTTTGTTGGGTGCATATTTCTCTGTTGCTAAAACTAAATTCGAACAGACATCTCCCTTTGAATCTGCGTCACAATAGTCCAGATAGCTGAGTAGTTCCTTGACCATCGTGCGAACATTCGTCCCGTTGATCAGCGCAAAGCACAAATCGACGGCGCGACTATAGAAGCAAGATAAAAATGCAAACGCAAACAGATGTAATCAATCAATCACATGGAGAATGTTATTTGGGGGTGTAAGTACGATCACGTGATGCATAGGACTTGATTCAATATCAATTGATAAATATCGTCAATCATTCGGAGTTTGACGAGGAACGGAAGAAAGGAAGTTATAAATGCTACAATGGACAAGTCATGTACGCCACTGTTTTAAAAATGAAAAACTTGATCAGATACCTAGATTGAACAAACTGCACCGATCATTCAAATAGAGACCGCGGGTGAAACCTAAATTTAGACTCATCTGTGGTTTTTAAAGCACCCGAAAAACCCTGGCTTTTCTAAGGATAGACCAGATTTTGATTCCGTCAAAAACATTTTCGCTCTGGAAAAATTTGCTATGGTGGTTTAGCTCATGATTCTACTTCATGGTGAGAGTGTTGTTACTAAGATGACGGGGTAAAAGTTAGTGGGGTGTATGGTGAGGGCATTGAGTCACGGACAATCTGCTCATTTGAATGAGATGATAAATCCTGATTTTGAACATCCCAAGAACAGACACTAACGAGACAATGGATTCTACTTCTGCGAAGATCAGCTCGTCACTTAGGAGTACTAGATGTCTGAGCGGAACTTCAGGGAGGTAGGATAGGTAGGACTGAACATTAGTCTGTCTACTGAACCTCGGTCTCAACACCCCATTGCTTCACGAGTCATAATTTGAAAAGATAGAGGCTCTGCTTGAATCCCAGAAAAATCATTTGGTTTGCGTTGCGCAATTCAGCAGCATCGTACTTTTGAACGAGTATATTGTTGATTCTTTTAATCGAAACATGCTTATACGGCAATTTGTGTGAAACAGAGCCTGGAACAGAGAAGTATGAAACTCAATCTCATGAAATCCTTTTCCATT